ACAGCATCGGATAACCGGAAATCCACAGGAATTCGGATCGCCAGAACCAGAACGTGTTCAATTTAAATAACCATGTGCTTAAGCACACGGAAGTCGACCGGGTACCTCGATACTGAAGACTTCGACTTATAATCAGAAGGTAAGTGAACCGAGTCCCACCAATGGCGCAAACCCACTACACGTTGCTCGTGAGTTTCATAAAGGACGAAACACACGAAATCAGTTGAATTCTGACCATTCCTGTTTGATGTTAGGTACCGGACAATGCCGTATTCATATGATCTCGGTTAGTACCACAAGGCCCTGCATTATCCGTTACGCTTTCACATTCTTTATCGGTCATTTATTCACAAACGGCCTCATGGGCCTATATCGCAGGTGAACTGTTGTGGTGCTAGTTTGTTTGTAGTTTGACTTATACGCACTTCGTTATACATCTTCAGCATTTGCAATTAACCGACATTTTTCCTTCCCCCATTTAAAAATCTCTGCACTCTTCAAATTGCATTGCTTTTATCTGGAACTATTAACCACATTTTCCGACCGACGCGGTTTTTCACTTCTCTCCAGCTTCTCATCTGTTTGGAGGTGCAAATGAACCCCTCTCCCATAATACTGACGTGTGAGGCTGTAACCGCCCTCATATTCGATATTTGAACAATGTTAGGCGCAACGCAAGATAACTCATTTTGTGGTACATTCGTCCCTTACATCACTATTCAACCATTAGCCCATCACCACGTCAACGCCTCCGTGTCCCCTTGTATTATTATCACCACAGACTTGGCTCTTGAAAACTTGTCGATCTCCCTCTTTCTACATTCTTATTTGTTTATTGAACTAGAGTTGAGTGGTTTTCTCCAACTGACTATAAAAGCCCATCACACAGCGGCGTTCAATTCCTATTGATTTCTAAGAATCGCACAATTGTGGAGCATACCTCTGTCCAGTCAGCTATTCAGAAAGTGTTAAATGTGGTTGTTACATGCGTAGTATACAAATATAACGATAAAACCAAGGACGCGCATGAAGTGATCCACTGCAAACGGATCCCACTGGCTAAACAAAAGCTTAATACGGATCGATAATAAAACGGGATGGGTACACCTAATAAATAAACGCTATCTGACACATCACGATTTTGAACATCATATTCACCCACGCAGCAGTTGTGATGGAGATTGCACTGTCAAACATATTACAGTTTCTTACTATGATTCACGTCCATCCTCCTCGACTCCTTGCGGATCCAAAGAGTCCAGTTCTTTCGCATTCTCTCCTGCACCTGCACCTACCGTTTTCCTGTAACGAATTCAGTTTCTGCATTTTGGGCATTGGCTACAGTGTAGTTGAGCGCAACATTACCGACGCTTCATCCAAAACTCTGTTGGTGCCAGCGGTTGAACGTGCACTGTATGTCCTTAGAGTAAGCACAACAGCTTACTACAGCGGTCCCGATCGCTGTTCTGCGTCTCCATGAGCTCTTTTAATCTTGACTCAATGGTCCCTGATGGTAGCAACTTATCACATATCGGCAAAACAGGTTCTCTGCGTCCACCACACACACACCGACTGGGGTTAATCCCAAGGCGACCAACAGCACGGGAAGAGATATTGCCCAATCCCTGCCATTCGTGTTGTTTCTTAGTAATCTTCTTTGCTAGTTTGACTGTAACGGTAGCCTTGTTGTTCGACTGACTGTTCAAACTATCATCGTTCACAGAAGTTCTGGAAACAGGTACCACGAACTTGATGATTACCAACTAAAATAACAGTTTCGCATGCCCTGTCGTGCGAAGCAGCTGAAGTTTACCAAATACCTGCGCATTTATGCTGGGCCACAGCCGGACAAATTGATAGGAGCCACTGGCAATCAAACGATCACGCAGCTGTCTTTCTACTGACAAAAAATACCTAACACACACCTATAATGCTGTGACATTGTGAGTATATTCTTCTTGCCGTTGGTTCAACTTTTTGCGGATCTCATATTTCGTAATCACCAGTTTTGTCCGTCAAACATACCCGGTCAAAAGTAGTTCTTATTGACTCGATTGAGACATTTGTTGATAACAGCAGGCAAACGTATCACGATGTCGAATGATTTCAATAGTTTCCAGTCACTCACCGCAAAAATTCAGACTACTATATATTACAAGTCCATCTCAGGACCTGACAATAGGTCGACCACAAGGCTCCCTTTATGTTCTGACAAAATCGTCAGTGATAACCTCTTTTAGTTTATACTGGCTACTGTTCGCAATAGTAGCATTTCGCACTTCGGACATCCCAGTCTCCGAACTTTGAGTCTCTGATTTTCAGCACTTCTCACTCATCCAGTTCACAGCGCTTTTATATTCAAACACGGAATTAGGAGTTTTGTTTTGGATGTACGCTCATTGTGCCCTAATGATCACTAATCTATAGGATAATAAAGTTTACCGCTATACTACTGCAGCTATGATCCAGCAGATTTCCTCGAGATAAGTTTTGCACGATTTGTGTTAAAGAGAATTCATCGCGTTAATTTACTCGTTCGGTCCGACATCCAACATTTAGCATTCAGAACCCTGTGTGGTCAACTCACATTACAGAGCAACTCAAAACAGTAAAAATGGGTTCTTTTCATCTAGTCTTGGGATGAAACAAACTCAAATGAGTACTGCTCACTCTTATGTTTGACTTCCGGCTATCAGTCGAAAAGAGGTTTTTTGGTGCACTGGTGCATTGCACGAAAGCGCATAGTTCATGGTTGTATGAACCGGACCGAAACTAGACTCGTGGTTTAATGTTTCGGTGACACGCAACCTCACAGCGATCAGCATAACAGAGATTATTGACATGTTCCGAAGATAATAATGCCACCAACCAATGACACTCATTGCCCTCCCGCTCTATGTCGCGAACATTATGAAATTCCGTGGGTGAATGATAAAACCACTGATTAATGTACGTCACGCGATGTGACCAGAGTGCGTGTTTATGCAATGCGAAAAAAGAGAATCAGAGCAATTTAGCTGATGGAAGCAGATGTTTTCAATTAAGGAAATAACAGCCCACCGCGACGCCGTTGGTGCGTGATTGACCAATCGTAACTCACACGATTTGTTCGTTAAAAGTTTCTTCATTCGACGAAAACGGATGCAATGATCACAAAAAGCACAAATCGTTTTGTTCGAAGGGAGAAATTCACGCGAGTAAACAAGTTTTGACAGCTATATTCCAAAGCTAAACTACCATGTGGATAAGAAACAAAGCGTGTGGGTGTAGGAACGCCTACTTTTGTTCAGTCTGTTTGAAAGAGACAGACACTCATGCAGCGGTCGGTATTCCCGCCGACTGCCCGAAATGATATATAAAGTTCAAATTGACTGAGTAATCTTTAGAGTATCACGTTCGGATTTAGCCATTCGCACACGGGGATGATCGTCGACTGTGTAGTTCACAGGTAAGGGCTCGAAGTCCCAACCCGAAAGTTCGTAGCTTGATTCCTAACAAGGACAAAAATTACGCAATACTGATGAGTCCCAAACAGGACGAAACAGCTGTCCAGTGCTCTTCATCGTTCGCCATATTTCTTTCGCAATTAAATGATTGAGTTATCCTCCAGAACTCCCTCTCTCAGTGCAGGTTTTCTTTCTCAGTTAGTCCCCGTTAATATCTTCGATGTAAAATGATAACGTCAGTCCATTCGAAGTGAAAATCAAACTGATTAATACGGTCTTCTAATTTCCTAGGAATACCTTAGATGTAAGAATTCTGGGTTAGCACAGCATGACCAACAGACACACAATTGGTGAAAACATGATAACCCCACTCCAAAGAAAGAACCACACACAAGTCTACCAAACCGGATAGAACTGAGGTCACCTACCCCAAAGATCACCGAGATGAAGCCAATTAGCCCGATTTTCGTGATCAAAACTCAGTTGATTGGCATCCGCACTCCTGAGTAACACTCATGCAGGTCAGTGGACTTACATTAACTAAAAGGAGGAAGGAAACATGAGCGTCCGTATCCTTCTTTCACGTGGGAGTGAATGTGTAGAAAAAACAGGTGAGTTTTTAGATAACCAGCATGTCCAAGTGCGGGAAGTCGATCGTTCGACTATTGAAGATGTGAGACAAACCAAAATCAACCGTTCTAGGTAGTCACAAGGACCTGTCGTTCATTCAGGGAAGCTGATATCCTAACTCCTAGGACTTAAAATGTCGAACAAAGTAAGGTCCTGGTAGGTTAAACGCGGTATTGAGCAGGACAACAGTGAAGCTGCCTACTACCAAAGTTGGTTGGCGATTGCGGGGTTTGCACCTTGGACCCTAGGACCTAAAGCGCACCGGTGACTTGAATCATTTCGCCACCACCTACGCATAGCAAAGACCAACTTCGTCCACAAGAAACGACAGCCGATGGTAATTCGAGCTAACGAGGATATAAACACTGTTCAGTGTGCACCCCATTCACAACTTTGATCGATTGACGCTATTATTAATTGATCTTGATTGGAGATCTATCGTAAATTTGCGTCTGCTCGATCAGTTCATAACGGTCATTCAAACAGAACCTCGTTTATCCCGTGGGATAGAAGTTTCCAAGTCATGAATGAATGATGCGTTAGACTACTTATGAGTAGATGAAGCAGTAATACATAATTGGCTAGATCGATTAAAGCGTGCGCTTAAAAAATAGTGGCTTCGATGAAACAATTTGGGAGAACAAAATTCTGGCAAGAAAAGGAAAGTTAAATACACAAAACATTCTCCTGCTCCTGGATCGAGCCCAATTGAAAAACACGAAAGCAAATACGCCATTCAAAAACCCGAAAATCCACAGCCTCTTAGCGCGCAAAAAAACTAAGGCTAACAATTGGCTTCGGTTGATCAATAGATAAACAGAGGGAGTGGTGATACAGGGAAAATACAATGGGTTGGAATTCCGTTCTGTCCAAAATTGATAATAACTCGACGACAAAAAGAACAATTAAACAAAATGGGTAGCATTACACTAGTTTCTTCGCCTGGAAGAATGCCCGTAAGTGTCGCATCTGCCAGAATCCGATAGCACACAGCAAGAGCAGTTGGCCGAGGCTCCAATAAGTAACTCGATGACTAGTACTTTCGCTTAATTGACGAAAATATTCTTCGCGTACCTGGAAACAGGCAAGTCGGAAGAGACTGGTGACAAGGGTGTTCAAGTAATATAAGAAGCTGCACATGGCTTTCACAAAATTCTCATGTGTAGCATTACTTCACATCATACGCTTTTAGATCGTCAACGAAATCATTAATATTCAAGACATCTCAAAGAACAATGTGCCATTGTGAACAGAACTCATGATCAAGATGAACTAAAGACTAATATAACATCAAGTCCTACAGAGTGTAACTTTTCAAAAGTTAGAATTTTCACTCCAGCACCAGAGTGGGATCTCATTTTTTATTTACCTTTGCATCCTTCTCAAGCAGATTGTATGATTTAGTGCTAGGAATTTCACTTCTATGCGACTCTCGTGTGTGTGTGTGTGGATAAATCAATTTCATGTGGTTCTGAAGGCAACGATCCGAGCACGATATCTAGGACAACGGTAGCTAACTGTGATCTAGTTACGATTGCACTCAGGCAAATCAACTTATAAACTCGCTTCCCCATCCTACCTGCTCTCGTCTGGGATGCCACTCTGAATTTTCTTCTACCTTAAATTCTCTCTTATACCAAGGGTAGCAACCATTCTTTTACTGGAGACTACCCTTAAATTCGCTTTCACCTTACCCCATTGCGAGCCTATTCCATAATGTTTGTATCAATTCATTCAACTGTATCTTTGTTAAACAAGGATCATTCCTGAATCCGTTTTTAGCCTAACTTTCCTCCACTCATAAATGTATGTGACTATGAAATTATCCCTTAGAGCACCACTACCGTCTTCAAACGCATAAGACAACTTGTATGTTCCCCCGACAGTCCCATTTGCGGTGTATCCACATCAGATCATCTGTGTACTAAGAATTCTCATTTATGCTACATTTTCTTACTTGGTTTCTTTATTACACACATCTGTGTGATGAACAGTATGCGGGGTGGATCCGATAGTCACGAAGACCCAGTGTCCAGTGACGGAGGCCGGCAACCCAAGCCCCGGGACTGGAGTGGTGAACTAAATCAGGCCCCGAAGGGTTGAACCGGACGACAGCAAAACTGCTTACCAGCGACGTTAGGTCGCGGTTGCGGGGTTCGAACCCCAGACCACAGGGTTCAAAGCACACCGATGATAGTATCTAAACCGCTGCACCATCACCATCCCAACTTAAAACTTTTGTTATACCGAAACAGATATTTTTTGTTATTCATTCACTAGATCCTATTGTGAATACCTTAGATTCACCCCTATCTCGAATGCGAAGATTGTGTCAGGTGGAACTTGACCTGTTGAACCTACTCCACCTAAAACATCCCAACCAAAGGCCTCATTAGTAATGATAACTGATAGTTTACCACAAATCACACTTCACTTTTAAGCTGGTACTACTGTTGCTTTCAATTATGCATAACAGCTTGTGCCGCTTTTTCTGCCTTGTCCCCACAAAGTGACGAAATACCCCTTCAGTTTGTAGATTTTCTTCAAACGACACCAAGTGCCAAATCACCGATCCAGCTCTAGCTCAGATATTTCACTCTAGATACCCTTGGAGTATACTTTTGGAACACGTAGTTTATCCATTCTGAAGGGAATCACGAGGATAAGTGATCAAACGCTAATCTGTATGACCATGCATTTGAATTGGGTCACCACGAGCCTAGAACAAAGTTAGATAATAGGTTTAGAGAAGAGGGGGGAAATAGCACCCCTTTGGGGATCTATACGGTTCACCTATTCATGTAGGTTACCATTGCCGGTTTATTTAGGGTATTCTCATAACGGCTCAACTTAATAACTGTAAAATAGAAAGGTGTGGTTGGTCAAGGTCAGATAAGTATATTAAAGTTATTTTTTGCAATATGAGACTATGTAATACCACGATCCATTTTAAAAGGACAAGTAAACAGTTGAGCAGTTGATATTGGCCATCATTTTCGCGTGATCTATCTACGCAAAATAAATAGGTTGGCATGTTATGAGAACATCATACATGGAAATTAACATAACTACTTCCATTGTTGATCAGGCATCTCTCTTAGTTTCACATTACGTCAATCTTTCGACTCACTTGACTGACCAATTTTCTATTCTCCTTTTAATAAACTTCTAGATGAACTGATCCTGTCTGTTATTACGTAAGTATCCTCAACTTCCTAGCGTTCACAGTTGGACGTTTTCTATGACGTAACTGTTTCTAGGCTTAAATCGCTTTTCAGGCTGACTCCAAAAGCCTCAGTATGGTCGGGGGTGAGTGTCTAAGGTTGCGGTTGGTCACCCTGTCCTCGCACCTCACGAAATGCTCTCATAGGACCAAGCGTCTCAAATAGCCTCTGCTGAGGAAGTCCTACTCACTGCCTTCTCGTCGCGGAAGTATTTTCCCACCAAAGTGAGAGGACGAAAAGCCAACATCCGGGTTGGTGGACCACTGGTAGTTCACCTAGGGGAGTTGGTCAAAAACCCTGATTCCAAACCAACCGTGAGGCGTACGAACTACACCCACACCTTTTCGGTTGTGGCAATGGTCACCGACTCGATTGGGCACCTTGGGCGAATGATCTGATGAACTGAACACCGGCTCCCAATGGACTGCGGCTTTCACACACTGCCCCGCCGCATTGCGGGTCAGGTTTTGGCTAACCGAAGGCTCCGGTTGTGAATTCCTCAAGAAAATTCATCTGCATTGGTCTGGGCAACCTGGCAGTATTCCGTCCACAAGCCAATCATGGAACGTTTTTCCTTTTTATAAGGATTATTGTACCATCATTGGCCTGGCACAGTCTGTCCTTAGACAAGTGTGAAATATAATATAGGTTTTTCAGGCTTTTTATAACAATATCCCACTACCCTATTTGATCAATGAACTAAAAATGTCTTTGGTACTGACGCGACAACCGAAAACTCTGACCTGAACCGCTGCAATTATGTGAATGCCTATATATGGCACTTTTAGTATAACGTTACGACCCATTTCTTGCGGACAGTGGATTGAGACTATGCGAAATTGATGGCCACTATCAATCCTGCTCTGAACACCTTATTTGTTTTATTCAAGAAATCAAACAGAAAGGATGTTTCTGACACTTTGGACGGGAACCCTAATCGTTCTCCTGCTTAGTGGTTGGACACCCTGGCAGTACCGCCCATCAAACTCTAATGCATACACAAACAAAATAATTCCATACTGTATCGGTCGTCGCGCAGGATAATCAGGACCGCGCTGTTCGTTGCATCGAGCGGGGTGGGTAGTGATAAGTGAGCTACTGCTCAGATATCCCAATCTTTGTTTAATTCCTTGTCTTCTGTACCTAACCCTCTCTCTTCATCCCTTCTTCCGACCCACAACATCCCCACAGACAACTTATTCGTCACTTGTCAATGTTCGTCGCCAGGTAAGTAGTTTACCACAAAATAGATTGCAGATTCTGAAGCCACGTCAGGCACTGAATCTGGGGGCTGGAGGACTTTGATGCAGATAGGTCAACAAGCGCGTCTGGCGAGTACAATGGACTCTTTGGGGATTGATGTCTGCCGCGTATTGGAGACGCGAATCCAGGATCCTAGTACTATAAGCCACATAAGTGCACCGGGGTTGTCTTCGAGGTTCTCCGTCTGCACTTCAGGTGATGGCGAAGCCCGTTTAGTGGGCCAGCGTAGTGTGGGCATTTTACTTAACAATACAGCCGAAACCGCACTAGTCGATTGGATCCGCGTGAACAGTCATTTATGTGCGAGGCAGCTCCAGGGGTCCATCAGCGTCCGGAAGGGCAGCAACATCAAAAGGTGTCTGTTCATCCTTTCAGCGTATGCTCTGATAAACTGCAGTTCTGATGCACAAAAGGATGACTTTTATGATCAACTCATCGATCGAATTAAGTTGAGTCGATGCTCCGAAATAGTTGTTCTTACAGGTGATTCTAACGCTCAAGTCGGAAAACTGAGCGCATCGGAAGCTTGCCTAGGCGGTCATTGTGCTCTGCCCTGCCAGCGAACAGAAAGCGGCGATCGCCTGCTTCAGTTCTGCGCAGACCATCATCTGTTCCCATGCAGCACCAACTTCCGCCACAGCTCCAATTTAACTGGTACGCTAACTCAAATCGATCACATAGCAGTAAGCTACCGTTAGCGTGGCTCAGTACGAAACTGCAGGTCCTATTGGACCACCTGCGTTGAATGTGATCATGCATTAGTGTTGACGCAGTTCACTCTCCAACTCACTGGTCACAAAAAAAACCACCAAACACGGTTGGCAGATCAATGTTTATCTCACCCAGCCGTTCGTGCCCGTTTTGAATCAGAACGAGGGTAAGAGCCAAACGCTCGGCGGGGCGGTAGTGCAGATGAACAATGGGATCAGATTAGACGAGCACTGCACTCCGCTGTGAGAGTTGCTAGCGGATCTGAAGCGGTAGTTCGACCGAGGCATTGGATATCTGATCAATCAGTAGCACTGATGGAGAAAAAGCGGCAAATCCCGACCACCCGGGATCAAGGCAAGGGTAGGTGGCAACGACAACTCAAGAAGAGCCTCACGAAAGATCGTGAGAACTGGTGGGCAACGATAGCTAGTGAAATGGAAGTAGCAGCTGCATCAGGGAAAAGTCAAAGACTGTTCTAACTGATACGCAACACTGGAGGTCAGCGAACCACAGTTAGTGAAACAACCTGCGACAAAAGTGGACAAGCTATTCATGATAGGGAACAACGGCTTGACCGGTGGGCGGAGTACTTCAACGAACAGTTCAGCTGGTCAGGTGCTAACCAGACTATATCGTTTGTTGTAGTTTCGGCTCCATGGGAAGTGTTATGTGAACCTCCTACTGTAGCAGAAGTTCGATCATGCATCCAAGCCCTGAAGAAAGGAAAAGCAACAGGACCGGGCGGACTCCCCCCCACACACACACTCTCTCTTTTCAAGTTGGGAGGCGATGACCTCGTAGACTCCAGTACTGATCTAATGCGTAACATCTGGTCACATGAGCGCATTCCATCATCCTAGAGCGAATCGTTGATTGTTCCCATTTTTAAGATGGGATCTCACAACGACTGCGCAAACCACCGTGGAAAAAGCTTGATCCCAATCATCACTAAGTTACTAGCTTCTATCATACTTCGACATCTGATACCGTTTGGGGAGACAAATATCCGCGAACAATAAGCAGGATTGCGACCACGCCGTGGGTGTCGATCAAATCTTCACTCTGCGTCAAGTCCTCGAGCTACGCCATGCGCGCCGTTGGTGTTCCTTGACCTAAAAGGAGCCATCGATTCAGTTGACCGCAAATCCCTTATGGGTTCACTCCTTCGAAAAGGAATGCAGCAGAAATATGTGAACATACTCAGTTTACTCTATTCACATACTTCTGGTAGCGCAAAGGTCTACGGCGAGCTGAGTAGGTCATTCGTAACTAGCAGCGGTGTTCGTCAAGGGTGCCCCCTCGCCATCCCTGTTCAATTTCGTCATAGACGAAATACTGGAGAACACACTAAGTGGTCTCCAAAATGCAGGTGTTGAATAGGCAGCTGGAGAAAAGCTGTGCGATTTGGAGTACGCTGACGACATCAATTGCTTGTTCGAATCCATGGAGGATGTGCAAAAAGCACCCGACAGATTAACAAGTTCTGTCGCTCCGTTCGTTATGTGCTTTGCACCTTCAAAGTGCAAAGCGATGCTACAAGACTGGGTGTCGCCGAGTTCCGTTCTCAAACTAGGCGATCAGGAATTAGCTGTAGTTGACTGCTTCTCGTACTCAGGCAGCCGCGTGACAAACGACGGTAGCGCATTCAAGGAGATAACCGCCTGCATTTGCCAGGTTCGAGCAGTATACGCAGAACTTAGACACCTGTGGCCACGTGAAGGCCAGCAGATGACGTGGAGACGAGGCATGAAGAAATGCACAGAACGATTAGGTAGATTAGGTATCTCTCGGCTTCCGGGTTGAGGTCTTAAAGACTCCGTAACCGCATGGTTGGAGACAGTGAAGATCATGGCTACGAACCGACAGCAATGGCGATCCTGCTGTCACTTCTTGTCAGACCAGAATGCTTGAAATAGTATGTATGCATAGCTGGACTGTCTACTCTGTGCGTTGGTTATAAAGGTTCGCTTTCTTTTCCCGTCCTTAAAAGTAGGTTCAATCCGTCCTCCTTACACATTATCACTTACCTTGTATGCAATATAAGTTTGGCAGCGATCAGTGAAGTTCGCTTCCCTGTATTACGCAGTACAATGATAGTGATGAGACTACGATCCTTGGGACATAATCAGCCTTCCTATATTATGCTTCACAACATCATGTAAATGCGCTAAGATAAAAAAACATTTCTCGACAAACAGAGTCAAAAAACCCAGGCTAGAGAAAGGGTCGCCGAAACTGAGCGTTTTATGTTGATTTCTGTTCCGTTCTCCTTTTGGTATTTTTACATAAAGGAAAAATTTTTACAATGGAATAAAAACAGTGAATATACTGATTCGGAGTGGTGACAAATTTCGCCAAAAACCGAGCCAACTAAAAAGTATGTAATCATGTTAATGCTGTCAAGCGGGATAGAATATACGATGTAAAGAGAAAGGCTGCGAATCTTACGCGTTGATAGTTCTGATCTTTTGCAATGCTTTGGACTTGATCCTGCAGCTGACGTATTCGAAGCTCAAACTCATTCAGTCGATCTTTGGTTGCAATTTCACCATAATTGATTGCTTGTTCACCGACAGCAAAATCGAGATGTACACGCTAAATCGAATGCGTTTAAATCACAAAACCAGCACTTACGGATCGTTCTGACTCTGACTTTGTGAAAACGCAGATTCTATATTCGCCTCCTTGATGCGAGGTGAATGTGAAATAACCATCCGCCGTATAAGTCTGTCGGGTTAATTTGAAAAGAATACTCGAATTATTTTCAGGTACTGCGTGGAATATCTACAGTGGGCCATGTTGCAACAAAATGTACCAATTTGTTTTGAATACAATTAAGGTGATGACTAAAAACAAAAAAAACGAAGAGCAGCATTAAAAAACTTGTTTTAAAACAAAGCGATTTATGTTTGACAGCTTCGTTGCCGCCTTGCTCAGCTCCGTTATTCCATAGCCCAGACAGACAGTTGATCTTATCACGCGCTTGTTCCCAGGTCCCGCAGGGCTGGCTTCTACTGGTAGATTAGTTCAAAATATCTATACTGTGGAGCACCCTCTCTTTGTTTTACCTCTTATCTACGGCCTTTATCACGTTGTGTAGCACAATACCATCGGCAAGAACACAGGACAAGATAAATAAATGTATCCAGTACAAGGGAATACAAGCTGAAAGGTTATAAACACAGCGAGGACGTAAATTGGATGCCCACAGACGGCATGTGCGATACTACAAAGCAAGAGAACACACGAAAACAGTGTAGCTCCGAACACCACAAAGCGTTAGTCGTTTAGCCCTAACGTACGATTACGGAATAGTACGGGAAGCCTACCAGCACTGGTAGCCTTCTCAGTAATGAATGAGAGAAAAGAAACGGTAGACAAAGTGACGCGTACTTAACTCCATCGGAGAACCAACCCCATTATGCTCTAGATGCCGAGAAGTGGCCTCCCCGACAGCTACTCACACCCTGATCGACACCAAGGATATCATGGTCACGAATAAACTAAATTCGATGGGCTGATCAACGGCATTTACTACCTGATAACTGTCAGTGCTTTATCAAAATGGTCGAAGGCAAGTTAAATAAATACAGAGATACTGGCCCAGTGATAATGTCACAAAATTAATACCACGGAGGACGTATTCGAATCCCACCACCACCGCCTGAGATTCCTCATTATGTGTTGTGTGACAGCCCTTTGATTGGCCGAATCATAGAGGCTCATGGCGCATGATTGTTGATGGGTATCTACTCTATCAGCAAGGCCACTAAGTATGATCCCTACACCTCGATGACTCAAAGAGCGGGCTTTACAGTCTCCTGATGTGCGAAGGCAATACCTCGAGGACACCCCGCTCACTTGGATGGCCTATACTACTAGAATCCTGAGTTCGTATTTTTGATGCGTAACCGACGCTAATTTCAAGAGTCCATTGTAGCGCAAGACAGGCTCGTTGAACTGTCTGCATCTGTCTTCACGTTGAAGGCAACAGATTGAGAGGTTTCCGAAAGTGAAGT